CAAAATGACCCACAACAGTGAAACTGAACTCTACAGACAAGAGTTTGTAAGAGTACTGGGAAGCTTTTGACGCTGCAGGATATAAAAGTTACGTTCCTGAGTGGTATCCAGCCACAGTCACCTTCAATCCACGGCAGTGACATCGCTCGGGTTATCTGGTTCTTTCCCCTCTCACACTGGAATTATAAAGCAGAAGTTTCTGCCGCAGTAGTTCAGTGTTTCCTTGGCTATTGATTAAGAGCGTTAACCAAGCACAGGTTTCTCCATTTTCCATTATTTTGGCTGAGGAAGCCTGAACCTATAGCTTCTCCACCCTAGAGCAGCTGGGAAATGAGGGGCTCAGCACGATTTAGCGAAGACTTTGGTGAGTAAAAGCAAGGAAATTATTAGTCAGGAATATACTTTCCCTCGAGCGTACAAAATTTAGGTAGTAGGCTGCTTTCTGCTCTCGTATTTTGACTGCGTTCACAAATTGGACGGAGACATCTTAGGAATCACAGAAACATAAGCAGAAGAGCGGCCTCAACAGCCTGCCGAAAACATACCACGAAGATGAACCGGTTGTTTCTAGGGAACGGGACCCAATAAAAAAGTCTCCCGTTAATATCAGTAGTGGAAAAGATGGTGAGAAGTCACGAAGACGACACTAATAAACAATAAAAAGCCTATGGCTTCCTAGAAACGCAGGGTCTTAGAGGGCCAGGACACTTCTTGGGAAAAGCCCCGGAGGGCAAATAAGGTGAGGCAATCTTTGGGAACGCGATGGCAACAGCTTTATAAACAGGTGGAAAACAGAGTAGGGGGAGTGTTTTCTCCAGAGCCGGAGATAGCAGAAAGGAAAGCGGCCGGCAGCACAGAGCACGCCACTCCTCAGAACAAGAGGAGGAGGAGGAGGCGGCGGCGGCACGGAGAAACGGTGACCTTCAATAAAACAAACTTCACTACGTTCCAAAAGCAGATAAATAAGTTCCCACGTGAAGCAAGACTAAAGGGAGGGGGGGCGGAAAGCTCAGGGGGGCTGGCGATTTCTGCAAGAAACACATTAAGACCAGATGCGCCAGAAAGAAGCGGAGTAAGAGACAAACACGGCTAAATCACGATTTTTTTCTCTCCCTGGCAAGGCAAGGGATCACAATGGGATTAGAAAACCAGGGGAAAGCTGAGCAGCAACACGAGGGACTGAAAGCAGAAAAGCCAAACTGCAAACTGAGCTCTACCCGGGAAGGTCAGAGTACCAGGAAAGCATCCTGGAACGGCAAGGGGCAAAACCAGAGGTTTCAGCTCCCAAAAGAGGAGGAAACACTAAAACCAGATGAGAAACGATAACAAACCACTCAGCGCCTTTTTATTTCAGTCATCGATAAAAGAATTAATTGCGAGGAGATCGTTAGCGCTATTAAGACCCAAAGGAGACGTGAACTTCCACAGCTGGGGAGAGACGTAAAGGGAACTTTGAGACTCGCGAGGACAGAATGAACCCAGGGCTGCTGAGGCTGGAAGAGCAAATTCTGCCTCTTTTTAAAAGGGAAAAAAAACGGAGAAACCAGGAAATTAGGATAAAATAACATGACCTCAACTTCTGCAAACATACTGGCACATGTTAGCGCATACTTGGAAGATGAGACAGCAGGTAGAGGCCAACACATCAGTTTGCCTTAATAAAATAATATTTAAGCAACATATTTTCTTTTTATTATCACTTGCGATTCCCAAGAAGAAAAATAACAATTGTCTTTATATATAACTTCTGAAAATTCCCTTCCTTTAGCAGGGAAATATGGTCTCTGTGAACTAACCATAAGAAAGGGGACAAAGTGGACCAGGAGTAAAAAAAAAATAAAATAATCATATTTAAATAATTATCGTTACTAATTCACTGCCAGAACATAAAGTCGAGAACGGAGTTTCCGTGGTGACCATCAGGAGTAAACAATAATAGATGCTTAAAGCTTCGCAGGTAATAGCTAGCACATAGGGGTGTTTAAGAGTTTAATTTAAAAAGCATCTCTCCTCAACCAAAGTTTCCTGTGGAAATGTACGTGTTCGCTGCGTGTGAAAGGTATGATTTATTCCCTTCCTGCTAATCGGTGGTGGTACGGCTCCCATCGAGACTGGTTTGGGAGTACCACACCAGGAAAGACACAGCTCAGCCTGGAGAACAGGAATACACGGAAAAAAAAAAAATAAAATCAGATGCCTAACGAAAAACAAACAATCAAATCAAGATTGAAAAAGGAAAGCAGAAAGAATCAGGGTTAACAGTCCAGGAGAAAGGAATGGGGAAAAACCTAATAATAGGATTCAAATACAGCCATTTCCCAAATCTTATCAGGAATGGGCTACGTTGCAAAGCAAAGAGGTAACACAGGTTAGACATCAGGACAAAAACCAGTTTACATACTGCCTAACACTCAGAGAGATTCATCAGGGAGACAGCTGAATCTCCATCCTTACCGGCCAGCTTATTTAAACACGGAATTAGAGAACAACATGGGAATTCAGCAGAGTTGCTCCTGCTGGTAACCCAAGATGAGGTCTCTTCCTCATCATCTTTCACCTCGTTTTCCTACGGCAACAAAAGTCGTAGCCCAAGGTATGTATAATCCCACTCACCTCGCTTATTCACCTTACGCGGAGATTGGCTTGAGGGAATAATACAATCATCCGACTCGGGGGTCGCAGAAGAACTGGTTTCGTCAACATCCTATAAATTAAGACAATTTTTTTAGGGCCAAAAGGAAAACTCTCCAGTGAAGTTCTCAGACAGCAGCTACGGAATCACAGACAGCTCAAGTGCCAAACGCGCAAGGAGCATTAATCACCACCATGAAGTGTCGATTATTGGGTCGCACTGCTGTCAGACCCGATTCAGCTTCCGACAAGGAGCATGGATTTTGCTTCTCAACACCTTAACACCTACTTAAGCCCCTGCTTTTGTTTTATTGCAGGATGTGGTTGGGTTTGGTTTGGTTGTTTTTTTTTTTTTCTTTTGTTTTTAAGCAAATCTTAACTGTAGAGGTTCCTATCATTTCTTCACCTTAGCATTCCCGGGCCTGCGCTCCATTCTCTCTCTACATCCATCCATCTTCACAGCTTTTAGAAGCCTCTGGGAAACATTCTCTAACAATGAAAGTTCACCAAACTGATTTTTGCCTTGAACTCCGCTCCTTTTTTTTTTTTTTTTTTTGCATCCGACAGTATGTTATTTCCCATCTCATCGGGAACCCCGGACAGTCGTCAGGTAAAGCCACCGGTTGTAGCTGAACCTGAGAGCGGATCAAGGCCAAACTTGCTCCGCCTTCAGTCGCTAAGTTCCCTCTTCAAAGGCTCCATGCCGCTGGTTACCCTCTGGGAAATCAGTTTGCCAACACAAAAAAACCTGCCGTCGCAGCAGAATCAAATGCTTTCAAGTGTGGGTTTGGGTTTTGGGTTTTTTTGGGTTTTTTTTTATACTGCACGTGCAAGATTAGATTGCACAAGCTAAGATTTGTGTTTTATTAAGGCTGCGTTGTAAAAACATATTGACAATCAAGCCAGGAACGTGCGAGAGATACTAAAACAGCGCAGGTGAACAAAGGAGGCAATAAACTATCCTTTATTGAACGGGCACAGGAATATAAAACACATTAGCCCTATAAAAACAGCTTCCCGGCTTGTTCACCACTTCCTTTCAGTCCCCATACAGTGCTATTCCAGTGGCTTTTCCTACTTCCCTCACGTTTCAGGTGCCGGAAGGCAACGGCAAAATACGGCATTAAGTGTAACGAAATAGTTTGCGAACCTGTTCCGAATTTGTCTTTTATTGCCGCGCTCGCTCCACCGCCACCTTCGCCTTTCACACCTCAGCCCCGCGCTAGAAAGCGAAATCCGCATCCCACGCTAAACAATTCTCCGGCAAATCGTAAAATGAAAAGCGAGGTCTGGCCAGAACTAACTGGTTGGCGATAAGCGAGACTCGTTGCAAAGTTTAACCACTCCGGCACTTCTAAACATATTTGCACAAGAATCAAGCGTATGTTTAAAAAACCCCTGAAAACAACACTTTTCCATCACTGTAGAATTCTGAGCATCACCGGGTATATTCACCGCTAAAGCAGAAACAGGTAAAAATGGCTTGTACCTCTTCAGCGCTATACAAAAAGGTTAAAGTGCTTCAAACGCAGATCAGCTCAGAAAACTCAGTGCTGGTTTGTTAAAGCAGGAGAACTTAGGCTTAGCCTCGCTTCCTTGGAGAAGGGAGCCGCAAAACTAGCGCACGGAGTTCCTGCCCAGAAATTAATCACCAAAAAAGACCAAAGCCTGCTAGCGCCCCGTGAATTACAGCACAGGCTGTACCAGCAAGCAACGTCTTGCGACCCGGGAGAAATCTCTAAATTAAGACGTTCTAGAAACAATTTGGCTTTCTCTGTCCAACTACTTCACTGGCAGAGGGAAAAAAAAAAATAAAAAAATATATAATTGGCTTCACAGAGCACAGCAGCAGAACTCTCAAGAAGCTTTGAGAAGGTAACGTCTCGCAGGCAGACACGTTATCTTGGGAGAACGCCCGGGATGCGGGCTCGTGACCTCCCACAAAACTCCGCAAGGTCAGACCCGGCATTTGTTACATTTATTAAAACAAGAAGAAAAGAAAAAAAAATACTTCAAAACTTTGATGGCTTTGCCCATTATCACGGGGGTGGGGGAAAAAAGAAAAGATAAATATTGTCTGTTGTGTCTTTTGTAAAAACTTCGTGCAGAAAGCTTTCCTTTCAGCCATCATAAATGGAGTATTTCACCGCAACCGAGAGCTAGCGCCAGACAGGGATGCCGACAAGAACTTCCTGGAGGTTTATCACAGTATAAATCTCTGAAAGTCTTCTTAGGCAAAATCCACCAATATATCTAAACGAACACCCTACGTCCCAATAACTGGCGCACGCGTTGCTTCCAGCTCGCTCAGCAAGCTGCGCGCGCGTCCCCTGAAGGCCCCCGCGGGCCCTGGCGACACCTCTACTCACCACCTTCTCTGCATCGCTGCCTCCTGCGGCTCCAGCCCTGGAAGCACAAAAGGGACCAGAGGCGCTCCCGCTTTTCCGCGGAGATGTTTTCCCTTCACGTGCCGAATCTCTCCCTTCATTTGCACAGCTTGTAGAGTCCTCCCTGTTTTCATTTCCCTTCTTCTGCGGCACGGGAATACTTCTCAGTACACCACCCGCCTCCAGAATTTTGTTTCTATCAGCTGAATTAGACTTTGCAGTTGTCGGTGAGCCGGGCTGATCATTTTCTTGCAGAGATTTGGGGACACCCTGGAGCGACTTAGCGTCGACAAGAGGTTTTTTCGAGTGCGATTTCTTCCTGGCAGAAAAGAACGCTGCTCCCATCTGGAGTTTCAGGGCTGGTTTAACTGTCATGCTCAGGACTCGGAAAGGCGAATCCATCTTCTTTTTAATTAAGCAATTCACATTCTCTTTCTCCACACTGGGTTTTGCCGGTGGAACGTCTCCCTTCGCCTTCTTAAGCGTCTTGGGGAGAGTTTTGCCATGCTTGGAGTTGGTCGGGTGCTTGGTTGGCTTTGAGCTCGTATTCCTGCTCGAGTTCCCGTTCATCTTCTCAGTCCTGCTGGCAGCTGGGAGATTTTCATCCCTGCTCCTCTCCCCCAAAGGGTGGTTCTCGTTCAGTTGTTTCCTCTCAAGAGGAGTAAGGTACCGCTTTTCCTTGCTATAAAAAGAGACCACAGGCACAAGGGGCTTGTAGGAGGCAGCGGGTTTTGGGGATAATTTCCCCGCGGACTCCCTCTGTGCGGCTGCGGGAACGCTGGCTGCCTGGAGGGGTGAAATATCCAACCGCCTCGACAGCACCGGCTTCACGGGGAAAACCTCACTTTCTCTCGTCTCATCGCTGGAGCTCGACGACCCTTTCATTTGAGAAGCAAACCAATTATTTCTCGATTTCTTGTGCGGAGACAGACCTTCAGCAAAGCCGATCGTTCTTTTCACAGGTGTCTCGAAGGCTAGGGAGGAACTGTAAAAATAATTACAGAGCAAAACCTCACATGTACGACTGAAAGATATTCAATTATCGTTTTACTTAAAATAACAATTTTCACTCAGCCTACCTGCCTGTACTGATATATGCCCTGGAACATATACAAATATCAAAATACCTATGGACCTGCTGGAGCATGTCCAGAGGGGACCACGAGGATGATGCGAGGGCTGGAGCACCTCTCCCATGAGGAGAGGCTGAGAGAGTTGGGGCTGTTCAGCCTGGAGAAGAGAAGGCTCCGGGGAGACCTTATTGCCGCCTTCCAGTGCCTAAAGGGGCTCCAGGAGAGCTGGGGAGGGACTTTTTACTGGGGCATGGAGTGACAGGACGAGGGGGAATGGCTCTAAACTGGAAGAGGGCAGGTTTAGATTAAACATGAGGCAGAAGTTTTTCCCTGTGAGGGTGGTGAGGCACTGGCACAGGTTGCCCAGAGAGGTTGTTGAGGCCCCATCCCTGGAGGTGTTCAAGGCCAGGCTGGAGGTGGCCTTGGGCAACCTGGGCTGGTGGGAGGTGTCCCTGCCCATGGCAGGGGGGTTGGAACTGGATGATCTTCAAGGTCCTTTCCAACCTAAACCATTCTGTGATTCTGTGATTCTCCTTCCCCCAAGACCTTAGCTACCCCGGGCTCTGGGTTTTGAGGCTGGTTACTGGTGACGGCAGCTTGGGGAGGTTGATTCTATTCTTCTATGATTCTATTATTCTATGATTCCATGAAATACAATATACAAATATTAAAAGGCCTCAGACTGTCTCAACCATTCTCCACATTTATTTTTTTTTTAAATAGCAAATCTGTTTTCCTGCCTGAACTTGTTAAAACACCTGGGAGCAACATTCTACTTTCTGGAACGCCGCTGACAGGATCAGCACTATTCATGATTAAGGAGACAAAAAAAAAAAATAAAAAAACCCACCTTGATTTATTTCAGACCAACTGTGTAAATTCAGCTTTGTGCCTCCAAAAATGCTTGTGCATCCCCCAGATGCAAGGCAGATAAAGCTGGGGGGGGGGAGGGGGGAGGATCTCACAATATTTCACACCAGTTTCCAAAAGGCTCGCACCAAAATCTCGCTCTGACAGCTATTTCAGAATCTCAACCCTCATCAGTAAATCACCAATAGCCTCTGAACCTACCGCCCAAAAGGAGATACGCATTTACAGAGAGGATATGTTCAGCATTCCTGGTTGTGACTTATTCGGCACACAACACAGCGCGGCGTTTCCTCAGCGAGTATTTACACCCTAGCTCAGGAATTTGTCCTCCCAATTCAGAAATCAAACTTCGCTCCTGGTCTCCCCCCTCCCCACCGAAATATTTTTGTGGGGGAAGTACAGGACAAGCAGGAGAAAAATCTGTTCAGCCGGCAGAGTTACGAAAGAATGAGAAATAATGCGTTCTTTCAGATTTAAAGCACAGCCGTGAACTTTGTTCATGGCCAGTGGTTTCTCCTCCACTAGATTTAGGAGGAAAAAAAAAAAAAAGAAATCTATAATTTTTTAGGCATGCGTAACAAAAGATCTATTTTTCTAGTAACACTAGAAGACTATTCAGATAATTTGAGCTCAGTATTTCTGTACTGTATATCCAAGTCTTTCCAAATGCGAAAGACTGAGGCTTTACCACAAAGAAATGCAAACATTAGCGGGTTTATTTCTTAAGTTTCTAAACAATCGGGTTTTAGGTTTCTACCGGTTTTGCGCCTTACTCGGGGCTGGGCCTGTGTGTGACTGTCACGTACGGGGAGGGATACGCACCTGACAGAGGTGACTGCCAAAACAAGATGCCTTACCTTAATAAGAGAGAAAAAAAAAAAAAGCCCTTGTGCAAATTAATGCAACCTGCTAACGTGGGCCTGCAAAGTACCAGCTCAGTGTAGTGGCTTTCTCTCATTTCTAATTCTGTGCTACGCTACAGATTGAGGATAATTTTTCGGTTCGGTTTCCCTAAATATTAGGTGAAATCTCTCAAGGTGCTCAGTCCAATATAAAATGTTGTAAGTCACTGAATAATAAATGTGGGCTGATGCTAACTGTATCTCAGAATGATCTTAATGTCTTTTCTACTTAACGTTAAAAGCTCTCCAGGATTTTAAACACGTATTTTATTCTACGTGCAGCAATTAAGATGTTTTTATAAAAAAAAAAAAATTACAAAAAGTTAACATACCCATCGGTATCAGAAGAACTACGGCTCCTTTTCCGTGGGGTAACAGCTGCCATGTCTTCACCAGAGCGCCTACAAGAACACATTTTTAATAGCTTGAAAAAGATTTCCAGCAGAAAACAAACAAGCTTAATAAAGAAGGAAGAGAACATGGGGGACAGGGAAGGAAACACTGAACGGCAGCAGTTCAGAGACGAAAACACAGGGCTGTGTTTCAGTTGAGCGTAAGCCATAAAACAAGTGCACGCCGAAAGGATCTTCCAGGTCAAGTCCAATTCTGTCACCATGGACAAACACATCCTAAATGTCCTTTTCTGAAACACAGTCAGGTAATTCAGAAAAGTGTTTTAATTTTTGCGTTCATTCCAGACCCCACTAACGTGGTTCCTAGAAACCTTCTTGCTCCTGCCTATATTCATGGCCAGTTTATTCCCATGAGGATTTCACGGTGGCATTTACCCAGACAGCTCTTTACCCAACAGACTTTTAGAGTCTCTTTCCCAGCTCCCTTCTTGCCAAACACCATAAACTACACTTCTTTAGCCTTCATTAACGCAGTAGCCATTTTAACCACTTTAACACTCAACGCCGTTTGTTCCAGATCTTCCAGTTTGAGATAATTATTGCACAATATTCACTCTTCTGTTATGTGGCATTTCACGACTGAAACCCCAGAATAAGCAAATACCCTGTATCCAAGAAGCCTAATAATAAATATGCATAAACTGCTAGAAATAATAATTTATTCAACCATCTGCCAGTAGGGGGAAGTTCCTCCTAACCTGCCCGCGTTAATGCGGTTTTGGGGAAGCAGTGACTGATGACAGCCCAGACACGACAAGCTGTTGTCAAGCCCAGGAACCCCAAGGACATGGCAGAGGATGGAGCCAGGAGCTGCATTAGCTGCAGCAGGAGCTGTACAACCTCAGCACAGATCAGCACTGGCAGAGGGAATTTCGAGAGAGGGGCAGGCAATGCCTCGGAATCACAGAGCAATAAGAGCGAGCCTGCAGGTACCTGGGAAATGAGATATCGTGGAGGTGAGAGGGAGAAGGTAGGACAAAGACACACTGTTGGCAGGAGAGTCCAGGTGCATGTGTAGGGGGAGCAATTCTTATCGCTTGCACCATTAACTTGAGGCTCACACAGCCAGTTCCTTCCAGAGCAGCTCTCCACCACTGCACCTTCCCAAAACATTCTTAGTCCAGGTGCCAGCCAGCCCCTCACCCCAGAGGTCCCACACTTCACAGAATCACAGAATGGTGGTGCATGTGTAGGGGGAGCAATTCTTATCGCTTGCACCATTAACTTGAGGCTCACACAGCCAGTTCCTTCCAGAGCAGCTCTCCACCACTGCACCTTCCCAAAACATTCTTAGTCCAGGTGCCAGCCAGCCCCTCACCCCAGAGGTCCCACACTTCACAGAATCACAGAATGGTTTGAGTGGGAAGGGACACTGAAGATCATTTAGTCCCACCCCCCTGCCAAGGGCAGGGACACCTCCCACCAGCCCAGGTTGCCCAAGGCCACCTCCAGCCTGGCCTTCAACACCTCCAGGGATGGGGCCTCCACAACCTCTCTGGGCAACCTGTGCCAGTGCCTCACCACCCTCACAGGGAAAAACTTCTGCCTCATGTTTAATCTAAACCTGCCCTCTTCCAGTTTAGAGCCATTCCCCCTCGTCCTGTCACT